AGAAGGAAACTAACAAACAAGAAGGAGCAAGAGAACAAGGAGAGGAGGACATCATGGGCCAGTTACCCAGCCACACAACCAGTCATGGAGCAAGAATGGAAAAAAAGGTATGCAGAAATAGAGAAAGATAAAAGCCCAGGAGTGAAAGGGAGTTGGGATAATTTAAGTTAGGAAAAGTTGGCAAGAAAAAAGCCAAGCTAAGGCCGGACATTCACAACTAAGAATAAGCTCCGTGTGTAATTTATTTGGGAGCTGGTTGGTGGGTCCCCCCACACACAGAAAAAAAAACCAAAGGGGCAAAGACAACATGAAGTACAGCTGAGTCCAGAGGACTGAGGATAGAGGAGTCGTCGGCTGGGGATTTCACAGGGTCACAGATGGAGCAACCAGGGGGACTCTGGAAAGTGAGGTAAGGCATTTACAAATCCTTTCCTTGTCTAATATTCTTTCCAGTACACACCTGTGACTTAGCCTGTGTCTGTGTGCCAGCTGTGTGACCCTCATCTGCCTGTCTGTACAGGAAGATGGGGACCCAGTTGCAAGCCACAAAAACCTCCTATGTGATGGCACGTGAATTGTCAGTCAGAACAATTCATCAATTCATGTGAATTGTACCTCCCTGAGCTGCTGCTTCTGTTTCTCAATTCCATTCTCTGGCTTCCATTGAGAGACAAAAATGTCCCTAAGCTGGAGGCTGGAGGGGGCTTCTTGCCCATGTAACTTTGAATTAGGTTCTCCCCTGGTTCCACTTTTATTTCTTTATCCTTCCTCTTGCAGCTTCCCAGAAATTCAAAATGTATTTTAATATGTAGCATTTTAAAATATTTTTGTTAATTGGTTGAAATTTTCAAACCTTGTATGTTTGGTCATATTCCTCCTTCTCCCAGCTCCTCTCAAGGTCACATCTCCTCCCTTACCCTCCCTGTTCTGTGTCCTTAAACACAGAACATGTGTGTGTTATCAATCCCTGGCATGTGCTGCTTGTTTACTCCTGGATGTGTGACTATTCACTGACTATGGTCAGTCTACCAGGGGAGCCCTTAAAAAACTAGCCCTGCCTCTCCTGGCAGCCATCTATCACCAAGAGTTCCTCAGCTAGGGCTGGGACTTTCTGCTCTCCTCCCCCTCCAGGCTGGAAGTATGGATTGCTTAAGCTTGCATAGGTCCTATGTACGCTGCCACAACTGCTGTGAGCTCCCATGGGCAAGCAGGCAGCTGTGTTCAGAAAACACAGTTTTCTTGTGCCCACGCAGCACCGCTGACTCTTGCCATCCTCCTACACCTTCGTCTTCCACAATAAACCCTGAGACTTGGGACGGTGTATGTGGTATAGATGTCCTGTTTGGGGCTGAACACCCTGTAGTCGCTGGTTCTCTACGCTTTGAGCCATGTGTGTCTCTTTGTTAATGGCCAACTACTTCAGAAGGAGGCCATTTCAGAAAGGGCACAGTGTCAGGCGTGTTGATAAGACACCAGGAGTCAGTTGGGCAGAATCAAGGTAGTAGATTTGCTCCTAGGACCTGACCACCTTAGCCACAGGTTTTTTAGCCCTGATTAACTGGGCCAGGTATTTTAAATCTCGTTACTACAGTTTTTACAGAATCACGCACGTAAGCACACAGTTTGCTAACATTTATAGATAGCCTAGGCCCCAACATAGAGCAGGGAAAACACCCTCCGAGTAGTTCAACTCAGCACAGTCTTCCTGGCAGCCACTGGACCTTCATACTCCCCTCTCACTTTCCATGGTTGTAAGACTGTCCTTCCTGCCAGCTGATGGAAAAGCGGGGCCCATTGAGGTCATCTATGGTCCTGTTTGGGCCAGACTCGGACATAGCAGGTGTGGCTTCCACTTACCTTCAGGAACAGAGTCCAGGACCAGGCAGCTGGCCAGGCAGACTAGCATGGAGCACTGACAGAAACTGTTCAACCTCCCAAGGACAAAGCCCTTGGCATGGTCAGCTGTCGCAGCTGTAACACCTTAGTAGCCATCTGCTGGGATACCATTGGATTTCAGATATGGGGAAGAGCTGTGGAAAACTGACTTCCATCAAAGGATTCACCAAGACCCCTTTCTCCTGCTTGACTGAGGTGGGTTGCTGTAGTCCCTGCTCCCAGACTGGGGTGTTGCCACCCAGTCCCGCACACAAGGAGTCTGGGAACTGCAGGGCTCATGCTCCTGTTTCTGCTGCCTGCTTCAGCTTCTAGCCCCTATATCTAGCAGGAAGCTACATCTCCCTGCTTTGGGTATTAATTTGGTAATAGAAGACAGTGGGGTTACAATCTTGTTACATAGGAGAATCAAAATGGTAGGTTTGTATGAGTCCAGGCTAAATGTATTAGAATTTTCTTGTAAAGTTTTAGGACTTAGCAAAGACAAAATCAAAGCTTACACGGTGATGAGGTCTATAGACAAAGGGAAGACAGAGGGCAAGGCAGCCCTGGAGTAAGAAAGACTGAGCAAATTTCCACTAAATGAAAGGAAACCCACGTGACCAGCAGGCCATGGGCAGATGAAACATCACCCCTACCCGGAGGTGCTCACGGTTCCAACTGCCAGCTCAGAACACTCAGTGATCTGCCCCATTAATTCATCAGAAATGGATTAAACATGGACTGCTCTTCAGAGAAAGGAATATATATGGTCTCTGGGTCTGGAACTTAGCTTCCCAGCCTCGCATCTGGGAAAATCGACCATAGCTGTGGTCTAGGCTGGAAGGTGAAGCCTGCAAAACTTGTCCCGTTGGCTGGAGATATATTTATATCCCATTTTAGGGGGTTTGTTTCATCGAATAAACTTTAGACCTGTGTTGCACACTGAAGCATAGAATGTCTGTGCCCAGGAAAGCTGTTTCCTGCATGGAGCATTGGTATTCCTTAGAACCTCAACTCTCCACAACTTTATTTCTACAAGTTCTAGGCTTTCTAAACAAAATGCCACCAGAGGTTTTAAAACACAAGGTTGTTCTACAATGTATCTAGAAAGATAAAATATATAATGCAATGAGAATGAAAATGATGTATGGAAGTATGAGAATGAACACAGGACACACCAGAAAGCAGAAACACGTATGTTGACTCTATCCAACACAACAGGAAGACGTGATGTGGGTGCCCTGGTGGTGGCACCCCAAGAAGAGAGCTGAGGTTCTAAAATGGGTCCCGGCAAATACAGACCCAGTGCTGAGCAGAAACTCTGTCCCAGCTTCCTGTCTTTAAAAACTAATTCACTAAGTTCAGCTAGTGCTTCCCACGGGTGCATGGATGGGGAGCTGTCCACTGGAACAAGGGAATCCTACCGTGGCCACATCCCCAAGAAAGAGTAATGTTTTCCTGCCCCAGAGTCTATCGACTGCCAATATCTCCCCATATGGAGTGGGGCCTGGAGGTCATCTCACCGTCCATTCTGGGAGTGTTGTCTGGTTGATATTGTACACATGGACACAGGTCAGTGAGTTTATTCTTGCATGAGACATGTCGTGTCCATAAGGCAGTACTTCCTTGCACTGCTCACCATCCTATGGTTCTGACATTCTTCCTACCTCCCCTTCTTCCATGTCCCCTGAGCCTTGTATAGCATCCTTCTTTGAGTTGGATATTCAGCTTCCTTTTCTTAGTACACTGTCCAGTTAGGAATCACTTCGCCCACTGCCTGCTGCACAGTATGAAGATCCTTCCCTGCCCAAAGCTGAGAGTTGCTCAGCCAAGTCTTTGGACACCAGGAGATTGACAGGTGGGTAACATTTGGCCTTCTTCACTCTTTATGTAGGAAAAAAAAGGCAAAATAAAAACGTAAGTCATATATTTAATGTTCAAAATCAGATGTTCTCCTTTGCAGTGTGCAATAATCAAAATTTTTAGACATGTAAGTCAATATTTATTGAAACAGTGAGTATATGCGCTCTTGGAGGAGTGATGGCTGCTTGCTAATGACTTAGGTTTATGCCCTTCTCAAACAATAGAGAAAAATATAGAATAAAAATTTACATATCTGTAACAAAAGACTCTAAAGCAAAAACAAAGACTCAAGAGCGAATTAAAACAGTCTTTTCCAAGTGACAAATATTAATGTCCCTACATTTTTCTTAATAATTTACACATGATAACCTGTATATCAAGATAATTAACAGGGCTATAGGGAAAAAAAATGAAGGTTCACACTCAAAAATCAAGACAAACACTTGGTAAAATTTTCACCTTATTGGTAATTAAGCCAAGGGACATTCAAGGTGATACATGTGTTTGTAAGAGCCTTTTGAGGCTTTACAGAAGGAGCAAGCTCAATAGTGTAATTCTCACAACAGGATTAGATGCCTCTACAGAAGTGTTGAACGCCCCTGTGTGTGCGGCTTGTATTGAGATCAGCACACGTTCAAAATGGAGTTATTTTGATGAAGCATAGTGTTAGACATGAAAAATCTGAGACTGGAGAGTTGCCCTTTGTGAACACATTCTCAGAAATCGTACATGAGTGATTTTGTGACAGCATTGATTAAAATGTGAATAGCCATAAGAGCAGATGTGAGTCAATAAAGGACTCGCCGCTAAATTAAATTAGGTAATGCCCGTATGATGCCTTTCCATAAAGGCTCTGACATGGAGGGGCTATTTGCTTCTGTGTCTTAAACTTTAAAAGATATATGCAATCTAGTATTAAGTGTATAAATGTAAGCTAAAATAGCATAGGAAGTTGTGTCCTCTTGAATGGTCTGTGCACTGATAACTGTGATTGCACGAAAAATGGAGGTGAGCAGATAAAATAAAATTAAAAAAAGAAAAAAGAAAAATGGAGGTGAGACATGCCTTCATTGTCTTCTATGTTCTTGCTTATACCTCACAGATGCACTTCTGCTCTAGATCAGGAGACAAGAGCTTAAAAAATAAAAAATAAAAGAGAAACATCGCTTGTTTTAGGGAGAAGAGTGTAGAGGAACAAAAGTAAGGAACAAGCCTCGTCCCGGCCCGGGAGAGAAGAAGCCGTCGACCCGTCTTTTCAATCGCTCCCCCTCCCTTTTCTCATCACTCCAACCAGCCCGCGACCATGCCCAGGAAGAAGGGGGCGGCCTGGGAGGAGCCGAGTTCAGGCAATGGCACGGCGCGCGCGGGGCCTCGGAGGCGCGGCGGCCCCGCGGGCAGGAAGCGCGAGCGGCCCGAGCGCTGCAGCAGTAGCAGCGGCGGTGGCAGCAGCGGCGACGAGGACGGCCCGGAGCTGGACGGGGCCCCCGGCGGCGGCAAGCGCGCGGCCAGGCCGGCGGCGGCGGGCAAAGCGGGCGGCGCGGCCGCGGTTATCACTGAGCCCGAGCACACGAAGGAGCGCGTCAAACTCGAAGGGTCTAAATGCAAAGGGCAGCTTTTGATTTTTGGGGCAACAAACTGGGACTTGATTGGACGGAAGGAAGTGCCTAAGCAGCAAGCTGCGTATCGCAACCTTGGTCAGAATTTGTGGGGGCCCCATAGGTATGGGTGCCTGTCGGGAGTCCGGTGCGGACCGTGGTTTCGGGTTCATGTGCTGCCCACAGCCTCCTCATCACCACAGAAGGGAAGCTGTGGAGCTGGGGTCGGAATGAAAAGGGGCAGCTGGGCCACGGTGATACCAAGAGGGTTGAAGCCCCTAGACTCATTGAGGCACTCAGTCACGAGGCAATCGTGCTGGCCGCATGTGGGCGCAACCACACCCTGGCGCTGACAGACACTGGCTCCGTGTTTGCCTTTGGAGAGAATAAGATGGGACAACTGGGCCTTGGGAACCAGACAGATGCTGTCCCGAGCCCTGCTCAGATCATGTACAATGGGCAGCCAATTACCAAGATGGCCTGCGGGGCTGAATTCAGCATGCTGATGGACTGTAAAGGCAACCTCTATTCCTTTGGGTGCCCTGAATATGGCCAGCTGGGACACAACTCAGATGGGAAATTCATCGCCCGGGCACAGCGGATAGAGTATGACTGTGAGCTGGTACCCCGGCGGGTGGCCATCTTCATTGAGAAGACCAAGGACGGGCAGATCTTGCCTGTCCCAAATGTGGTAGTTCGAGATGTAGCCTGTGGTGCTAACCACACACTGGTCCTGGACTCACAGAAGCGAGTCTTCTCCTGGGGTTTTGGTGGCTACGGCCGACTGGGCCATGCAGAGCAGAAGGATGAGATGGTGCCTCGCCTGGTGAAGCTGTTTGACTTTCCAGGGCGTGGTGCGACCCAGATCTACGCTGGCTATACTTGCTCCTTTGCCGTCAGTGAAGTGGGTGGCCTGTTTTTCTGGGGGGCCACCAATACATCCCGTGAGTCTACTATGTACCCGAAAGCAGTGCAGGACCTCTGTGGCTGGCGGATCCGGAGCCTCGCGTGTGGGAAGAGCAGCATCATTGTGGCGGCCGATGAGAGCACCATCAGTTGGGGTCCGTCGCCAACCTTCGGGGAACTGGGATATGGGGACCACAAGCCCAAATCTTCCACTGCAGCTCAGGAGGTGAAGACCCTGGATGGCATCTTCTCAGAACAGGTGGCCATGGGCTATTCACACTCCTTGGTGATAGCACGAGACGAGAGCGAGGCTGAGAAAGAGAAGCTCAAGCGGCTGCCCGAGTACACCCCACGTACCCTCTGAGGCAGGGTGGCACTCCCCTCGTGGCAGCTGTCATTTACACGTGCACTGGGACCAGAAGTCAGACAAGGAATTTAGGAAGCAAAAGTTGACCGACGATGCATTGGGTCAGCCTCTCTGCGGTTCCGTTTCCAAACAGTTCAACGTTAACTACCTTTTTCTGTATGCTTTCCAAAGTGTTTTCCCTCAATGTTTGATTAAAACATCTGCTCATAAAAAAAAAAAAAAAAAAAAAAAAAAGTAAGGAACAAAAGATCCCTTCTTTCCTCCTGTGGCTTAGTCCTCCCGGGAGAGGAGACGGGTCCTTGTGGAACCTCCTGCTCCTGACTGCTATTCCGCTCATATGGGCAGAAGTGAGGGCTTGAAGGATTCCAAGAATGGAGCTTCTGTTCTTCCAAAAGGCAGAAGATGCCTCTGATTAAAAAGTCAAACCTTGCCGGGCGGTGGTGGCGCACGCCTTTAATCCCAGCACTCGGGAGGCAGAGGCAGGCGGATCTCTGTGAGTTCGAGACCAGCCTGGTCTACAAGAGCTAGTTCCAGGACAGGCTCCAAAGCTACAGAGAAACCCTGTCTTGAAAAACCAAAAAAAAAAAAAAAAAAAAAAAAAAAAAAAAAAGTCAAACCTTCCCACACCAACTCCATCCTTAACTGCTCAGGCCTTTGAATGTAGGTTTATAACCAGAGGAGAAAAGCCATGAGCTGTCTTTGGGAGAGATTGCCATGTCAGTCTTGAGGTAGGCCTTCTGAACTAAAGAGAAACTATCCCTACTTCCTTCACAGAGACCCCAAGATGTTCCCAGAGAGCTAACATTGGGCTCTTGGACCCTAACCTGAGGATACTGTTTTCAGAGGAAATCTATGGAGGAACAAACAGGAAGGAAAGTCCAGAGAGGGAGTCCACATGGACCCACGCACAGCCCTGGGTTCCCTCTGCAGTGTTTCCAACTACCACCAAAAACATTTAAAGTAGAACAGAGCCTGGGGGTCTCTGCTGTGTCTCAGAAGAGGAGGCACAGCTGCTCTCTATCCAGCAAACTTAACACATGTGTTGTAGACCTCTCTGAAAATTGCATCAAGGAACACACACAAAGTAAAGGAGCAAAAGAGGGATGTTAAGCAATGAGCATCACTTGGGGTGACCTTCAGGTCTTTTCATTTCACCATTTCAACAGACTATGTGGGTGTACTACAATAACTTTAATAATTTTATTATCCCCAAGGAGCTGTTATATAGCAAACAGGCAGCAGGGAGCAGAGGTAGGATGCTGGAATTCAGGTCTGGAGACACCCCTAGCTGATAAGGAAATACTGAGGGTCTGTGATTGTTAACTAACAAAGGAAATTCTAATTGCTTCTAAAGCCAGGGGCATGCAGGTCTTGCAGGGAGAAAAGATACTAGGTTAATTTTCTAGGCCCAGAACTTACCCCACAGAGGTGAATATACAAAATACAGGTCTCAAAATACAGGCCTTTGCTTCTGGCACATATTTCCAAATATTGTTTATAAAAGTTTGTTTATATTGAAAGGGGGATATGCTATAGAGATTTGTATTGGTATGGATCTTGGTTTATTGATACAAATTTTAGGTCGAGTTTGTTATATGTATATTTCTGCTCTTGATTAAGGTATTGTAATTGTGTAGCTCATTTAAAATGTAATATATAATTAAGAAGTATAGGTTAATTGATAGTCATCTATAATAGTCAAACTTGTAGTCATGTTAGTTAGATTTTCTAGATATACAGAGATGTATTTCAGATAGTTAGATATTCTTCAAACCTTTCAGAGACATTCAGAATATGTCATTTAAAATGTTTTAAGAAGTTAGAACTTTTCATGACAATGAGACACATTTGCTCCTGGCAGCACTGATTACTTCAAGAGGAAGATGGGCATTAAAGAGGCTCCTTATAGAGTTGGTTAGCTATTTGGGCAAGAAACTGCTCTTGCCTAGACTGCTTCATGGTATGCTATAAAAATTGGACATACAGGACCTGCAGAGAAATGACTGCTGAGCTTGCCTCGAGGTGAGATGATCCTTTGGGATTCCTGCTTCATGAAAGAGTCTGCTAGACATTCTGTAGGATACAGAAGGAAATGACAACAAACTGCTAATAAAGGCAGAACTGTCTTTGAAATTTTCTGCTTCTTGGAAAAGTCTGCTGGATACTATGGGCCTATAGGATGAAGATGGATGCGCCAATGGTACAGAAGAACTTTGGTTGATTGTCCAGGCAGCGAGATGTCTCTGTCAATTTTAGAGTTTTGGAAGTTGTTTACAACTTACAACATTTCCTGTTTACTTAGGTAATATATCTTTCTGGAGTCTTTGATGGAGTTGAAGAGTAGATAGTAATAATTATAGTTTTCTTTAGTTATGATAGAGGATAAAGTAGATATAAATGTTGTGGTTGTAATTCTTGCTTGATACTTGTTTTGTTATATGTAATTTTACTATGTTAAAGTTAAAACCTTCCTTTTCATTTAAATAGAAAAGGGAGGTGATGTAAGATTCCCCTCTGTATGCTGTGATTACCATTAATGAATAAAGAAACTGCCTTTTCCTGTTGATAGGACAGAACTTAGGTAGGCAGGGAAAACTAAGCTGAATGCTGGGGGAAAGGAGGGGAAAAGCCATGTAGCCCCCTCAGATACAGACGCCGGAATTTTCCCAGTAAGCCACAGCCTCGTGGCGATGCACAGATTAATAGAAATGGATTAAATTAAGATATAAGAGCTATCCAATAAGAAGCTACAGCTAATAGGCCAGGCAGTTGTTTAATTAACACAGTTTCTGTGTGAGTACCCAGGAACCAACAAGCGGCTCCTTTAACTGACATGGTGTCTCCTCAGAACACAACTTTCCTCACAAGGTGGACAGAGAGGGCCATCAGAGCAAAGAAGTTTGTTGTCTTATAAATGTTTAAGGGAAGCATCATTTGGGGAGGTTGAGGGCAGTGAAGAACTTTATTCTGCACACTGCATTGCTCTACCGGCACTGGTCTTGAGGTGCTCCCAGCTTCCTCCCTACATCTCAGGCACATTAGTATCTGTGACCTTAGGGACCATGCTATGAGTGACCCAGGATGGTGGGGTCTATCCATCCTCTGGACACTTTAGCTTTGCTCAACAACATGGGCATAAGTAGAAATTTCACACCTTGTTTGGAGGGGAAAATAAAACACTTCTCCATCCCCAATTCTTCCAGGTGAGCCTAATATGGCCTGACGGGGACCCAGAACAGGGCTGGGGGGCTCCCTGTGGCTGGTGACCTTGAAAACACTGAGGGAAAGCTGGACAGAAAGCAATTTCATCTCTGAAATTGCACAGCGTGGTTCTCATTCGTCTTGATAAGCACTTTTAAGGAACAAAAGGGAAAGTTGCGGCTAGGAGAACTGTGGAGGTCCCCTTCTGCCGAGTCAGTTTAAAGTAAATTTAGATGTTCAAAGATGCATTTGGTTTCTATTGTGAGTTAAATTGGCCGCTGCAGAAGGGTGAAAACAGAAGAACAAAAATGCAGCCAAAAGGAGAAATGGGCAAAAAAATTAAGAACAAAATTATTTTGTATTCTACTTTTAAAACATAGGCTTGTTCTGATTATAACATTATTTAGTGGTAGAGATGACCATCAGTTTTTTTCTCCTATTGCAGTTGGGTTAAGTCCTGTGTGTGTGTGCATGTGCACCTATATGTGTCTCCTTGTCCTTTGATTAAAAAAACAAAAACAAAAAGCCCAAACACACAAGCCCATTAAGGGGGCTGGAGAGATGGCTCAGAGGTTAAGAGCATTGTGTGCTCTTCCAAAGGTCCTGAGTTCAATTCCCAGCAACCATATGGTGGCTCACAACCATCTGTAATGGGGTCTGGTGCCCTCTTCTGGCCTGCAGGCATACATGGAAGGAATGCTCTGTATACATAATAAATAAATAAATACATAAATAATTTAAAAAAACAAGCCCATTAAGACCATTAAGACCTCCTAGATTCTATACAGCTTGGGGCTTCCTCGAGTCCCACAAAATCAGAATTCCCCATTTCCTGGTGACAGAAAAAGGATGTACCTCTCTGGAATCCAACCCTTTTGTCTGGATTGATCAGTGAAAGAGAGAGAAGCCCTGTGACTGAAAACTCTGAAGAGACCCCAGAGAGAAGCTTAGAACAACAGCTACCAGGCTCTGCCCCACTTTAAGCCAGCAGGGCAGCCAGGGCCTAACCCAGTGGAAATTCTGCATTACACCTCATTCAGGATAGGCCAAGAGGACTATGGGAAGATCCACACGGTAGCATTTAGCAAGACGGAAAGGTAGGTTCATCAGTACCCTTTCCTCTAATGAAGGGATCCTTGGAGCTCTACGGGCAGAAAGTGTATGGACCTGTGGAAGGTAACTGTCAATCAACCATTCAGGATAAACATAGAGTGCTGTTCAGCTCTGGACCCCACACCTTAGCTTGAAAGGGGAGCATTATGAGAGCCAAAGCCTCCTGCATGCAGAGCTCCGTGCATCCCATCTACAAACGCTGGAAGACAGGGCAGTGCTTACTCTGGCATCCTGAGCATGTCCAGGTTGACCTTATCACTCTGTGTGCTTATGGAAATCTACAGCCCAGAAGAGAAGTTAGTGCCTACCATGGACTTAGCAGGTGAGTTTAATCATTTCTTGTGTTCAGTTCAACCTTCTCACGCGAAGAATTACATTTTAACTGAGAAGCATGTGGTCTGTCAATCATGTCAAGACAATTGAAATCCTTCTGAAATACCATGGGGTGCAACCAAGAACACAGACATGAGATCATAGCCGCAAAACAAGGCATCCTTATTGGCTACTCTCCAGCCCATTCTTGGGAGCCCTCGTTGTCTGGAATTCGAGTTGTCATCCCCAGATTTTCAAACCAACCTCACAGCAAGAAAGACTCCAAGATGCTTATTATTCTTAACCAACAGTTATGAATGCCATTGTTGGGAGAGAATCCAGGTCCACCGTGAAAGTTGCAAGGTTGTGGGAGATAAGGCGCCTGAGCCACCCTCTCTTATAAGAACACTGAAAACACAGTGATCTCTAGACTTGAGTATTTACAGCAACCGCCCACTTAAGAGCCACTCAGACACGCAAATAACATCCTTTCAGAGAGTCCCAGACCTGACAAGACCAGCTCCCCACTGGCTGAATGAAGAGATAACTCAGAGATAGAATTCAAGAGATTAAGAAAAAAAAAATCCAACTTCTTAGATTATGC